GGAAATACATCTTGAAGAAGTGCTTATTGAGAACTTGTGAGGGCCCAGGCATTTTGCCAGACATTAAGGTTACAGTACATAGGCCCTGACCTTGAGGAATTCATGCCCTAGTGGGAAAAAATAAATGATTCACTAGAATGAAGTACACAGAGGTTTAATAATGAGCTTTGGGCCAACCTGGACACATTCTCCTCCTTCCCAGCCCACCCCTCTCCCAGCGTCAGTGTGGTTGTGTAGTTGTGGTTGTGTAGTTGTGGTCGTAGACACCAACACTGCTCTTTGGAGAGGAGGAGGAATTTCTTCATGAAGATTTTATTTATTTTATTTATATCCCAAAGGTTTATGGTAAACATCTATGCATCAATACTAAATCTGTAACACACACACACATTAACAAACATACACACATACAAACAACTAGATTTTTTTAAGTAAGCAGGCAGGAGTGTGGAACTTTGTCATTGTTATAATTCATCTCAATTTTGGTCTTTGTCACACACAAAAATCATCTTTCTGGATTAGGTCCATCAACTAATGACATTTTCTCACCATTTCTGGTTTATCCAAAAATGCATAAGCATCATTATAAAAATGTGTTTATTAAATCAATTATGAGTAAGCAATCTAATTATTTCCACCATTCATTTGTGTGCATCTATTTGATATCACAGAGTACTTCTCACGTCATGAAACTAAACTGCTTTAGCCCCATTATCCCCAGTGCTTATCACAGTGCTTGACATGCAACAGGCACTAAAATAAAATAAAAATCAATTTGTATTAGGACACTTGGCTGAGATACAAGTCCATGACCTTCTGAGCCATCCAACTGGTAATCTGTCCCAGAAGAAAGCGCCCTGATCTGGCATGGCCTGTTCTTTGTGAAACCTGGAGGGATGGATTTTAGTGGGGTGTGTGTTTCCTCTTTTTGAGAATCTCCATTAGACTTTTACTGATAAATGCAATGAAACTTACTCTCCAGGGGTCAAAACATGTTTCCTTTCTTTAGAAAACTGGACCATTTGCTTGTCATTTGCCACTCCCCTAATTTTGCATGATTCTTAAAATATTTCCAAATACTTTTTTTAAGTTTATTTATTTTGAGAGAGAGCATGAGCTGCGGAGGGGCAGAGAATCCCAAGCAGGCTCTGTGCTGTCAGTGCAGAGCCCAACATGGGGCTTGAACTCACAAACCACAAGATCGTGACCTGAGCCCAAATCAAGAGCCGGATGCTTAACCGACTGAGCCACCCAGGCACCCGTGCAGCTTCCTCAGGTTCTTTCAGCAGCCTGAACAATTGTCCATGCACCAGGAAGACGCCTAAAAAGCTGCTGGGTTCTTATCATCTCCACGGATTTGGGCAGAGGGCCTCTTTTTCCCTTCACACTCTTTTCTGGTGAAAGGCCAAGAGATGAGGAGAAACAGACATACTCAGGCACCAACCCCAACCTGTAATACCCTGTAATAAAACCACTCCATTGCCTATCCTTTAGGTGGATATTGAATCTATTTTTATGTTGATATGATGATCACACTGAATCTGCAAGGCCACAAACCTAAGCATGGTATCTCAGGTTTGATCCTGTGGGAAAGCTGGATTTTCAAAAATGTGAACTGAAGTCAAAAGTAACAGCTGATATCCATGAGCATCTACCAGGTAGCAGATAGAAACCTAAGCACATTAATCCACTCAACAATCTTGAATACAGGACAACCTTCAGTAGACAGACTATGAAACAACCACTTTCTCTATGGGCGTCCACTCTCTTGAGCAGGAATCTTAGCATCTAAAAGTCTTTTTGGTGGTAGGAGTCAAAGATGGTCTAGGTCACATGAAAGATGGCCAGAGGTAAGCCAAGAGAGATCTGCTTGGAGTCTCACTGCCAAAGGCAATTCTCAATAATTAACGGGTTATGTTTCTACGTTTGGACCCTAGAGGTTACCCCTTTGTTATGATGCTCAATTGTTCTCTGTGCCCCCAAGGCTAAATGAGGAGGCTAGGTGGCTGAGTGCAGACTTAGGACCGGTCCTCCAGAATACAACAAACCTGGACACAAGAGCAGGAGCCAGCTCTCCCCCACTGGCAGTTTTCAGAATGAGGATTTCATTGAATTAAGAAGAGTGGGAATTGTCTTTCATAGAAGATGATTTGTGCTTGGGCAAATCACTCAAATCTCTGAGCTTTGGCTTCCCATACGGAAAAACAGGAACAATGCTTCAGAGGATAATTGGGGATATTAGGAAAGAGGACGTGTCAAATGAGTCGGTGGAATACCCACATTAGGTTTCTCTTCTATCCTGCCTTTAGCTGAAGACCATTTTTTGATGAAATTTTTTTAAAAAAAATCATAATACAAGATAAAACTCCCTCTGCTAGCATTCCAGATAGGACTCGGGTTTATTTCAACAGACTAATCTCTCAGCAAGTGCCCCTAGCCCTCCCCACACCCATATACATCATTCTTTCCCCTAGGCCACCTGCAGCATTTTTCCAAATCCTTGCCTATCCTGTTCCCTTCTGATTAGAACTCTCTTCTCTTCCACCTGTCTGATGAACTCTTCCTTAATCCACTCAACAAATACATAGCAAGTCCCTACTCTG